AGGAAGGTGAATGGGGGGTGGGGGTGGGGGATGTTCAATCTCCAAAGAACTTGGGAAGACTGTCCTCCACCTGTTGACTTGGGAAATGTGGGCTTCCCTCCTCGTCCCCTCCTCCGCTCCCCTGGTAGAATCTTGTGTGGGAATAAGAAACATGAATCATTTTCTGTCTGGGAAGAAGGCTAAGTAGGACTGGCAAAGGATTACAAAATGCGAACAAATCAGAACGCCTCAAAGACGCAAACCAAGGAGATAAACCGGACGAAGTTAATCATAAAATGAAATAGAAGGTGCAATTTTTGTTCTTGCCTATTCTGAGACATTGACAGTTCATCTCTCTGGGAGATCTCAACATGGTTAAATGGTATTGGCCAAAATCACTTTAATATTGAGAAGAAATTATCTGAAGATAAGTGGTATTTTGAAGGAGACATTTCAAAATTGTTCTCTGAACGAAGTCGTGAGTCTAACCATGTACAGTCTGGTGCATCTGATACTCCAACCCTTTTGCCTGTCTTCACATTTCACTGTTCTGCTTTATAGATCAACCTGCACCGGGATGGTATTGAATGGCATTAGGTAGAATGGCTATGTTGAGCGCTGTGCTGGCAGCGGCTCTGGAACAGTAAGCCTGCCTGGAACCATTGCAGGAGGGTTCTTTCCACACCAGTCACTGGCTGTACAGGAGCCCAGCTGACTAAAGGTTGCTTCTGTTTGACAATGAATAGTCTTTCCTTTCCCGTCTGAGGCTTGCCCGAAGACTCATAAGAATGAAGACTATCCGATTCTTTCTCAGTGTCAAATTTCAGCAAGGAAACCTAGCAAAGCAAATAGGACTATCCTGATTTAACGATACATCATCACTAAAAAAAAATTAATTTTCATTCAAGAGTTATATCGTGGAACTTCGGCTATAATGAATATTCTTGATCATTCTCTCATGGTAGCAGCCGACCACATGAGATTCTGGGGCACTTGAATGTGTCTCTTATGACTGAGGAAATGTATTTTCAGATTTATGTAATTTGAATTCATTCTGATTTAAATATCCCTATATTTAAAGGGATGTGGTCAGCTGCGGCCATGATGGGCAGCACATTTTCAAAGAGTTTCCTGATTATGTATGGTCAGTGATTGAAGAACAAGTCTGCTTACACATCAGCAAACTCTCACTTACAGCTCTCAGCTGCTCTTCATTCAAATGGGTGCTGTTCATGGGTTGGCTACAAAGCCATTAATTCTCATTAGACACAAATAACCCGCTCAGGATCTGTTTAGAATGATTGAGAAGAAAGCTAATTCTATTTATTAGTTTGTTTAACAAGCATGTATAAGACACTGTGTACCACTCAAAGTAGACAGCTTTGGACATGGAGACTCCAGCTAGGCAGTCAATGCCTCCTGAGATAGTTTATTGTGCTGACTGTTGACTCTTAAGTTGGACATACGACCCCATTGCAAAGTATTACAGTGTTGATAAGTAGTGGGATGGAGAAACAGCCCTATGAGAATGTTCTAGTACTTTGTACATCAGTTTGGGAATCAGAAGACACGAGAAGCTTTTGTGTAATGAAATGAAGGTTTTGAAGCAGTAGTCAGTATGTTTAGCAGTCACATTTAAAACTCAGGTAGTATGTTTATTTTTTCATTCTTTCACATTAACATATCCTAAGTGGCATTATACTACCGGTATAAAATTATTAGTGACACTGTTTCTTTCAAGGCCATGATAGCATATAACAATTAATATGAACCACAGTCTTGGTGTTTAATAGATACTTTTAACTAATGGCTAACCATAAATAGTGCATATTTAGTGTCTTATAACTATGTGTAAAATCTCTGGATTTATTCTAAGTGACAATAAAGATGGCATGTAGAGTAATCTTATGGTGGTTATTTATAAGAAGAAAACTGCTTCTAGTTTTTAACGTTCACCCTAATGCATATGGGGAGAAAAAAAATCTAAAGCATGGGAGATTTGTTGTAAATGGCATTTAAAACTTTATTTTCCGAAGCCCAGGATATATACCAGTGGTAGAGACCATGGCTAGCATCTGGGAAGCCATGAGCTCACTTACAAACTCTGCAAAAAACAAAAGTAAATAAATACTTTTAGCAAATAAGAAAATTGCAGTACCTTGTTTTCTCCTTCATCCCCAGTATCTGTATTTCTTTCTAATTTTTAAGGAGAAGCTGTGAAAAAATTGTATGCTTTGAATATTTTAAGCTACAGTTTATTTATTCGTGGAGGTGGCAGATCTTGTGCCACAGTACATGTGTATAGGTGGGAGGACTTGAAGCGGTATGTTTGGGGGGCATGAATTCATGCCATTTGGCTGCAGGCACCTTTACCCACTGAGCCATTGTGATAGCCAGAATGCATTTTTATTGATCTGAATAAAGCATTATGTTTATTGAGATTCCTATAGTTACTTATTTCCCAAAGCTGGTGAAAAAATTTTCATACTTATTTTAATTTTGAAAATACTTGAATTTTAGGATAAATAGTTTTCTACGATTTTTAAATTAAAAACAAACAATGTATTCTAAGAAGAATCTAAGGGGAAAAAAAGCTGTCTGGGCAAGAGGTAATAGGAGCATATTTACATGGAAACTACCATCCAAGAGCAATATATATATTATATGTAGGAAATAAAACATAATTACATAGAAAGTAGAATAGTCTGTTTACTGAACTAAAGGAAAGAGTACATGAATGTGGTAGGTGGGAATGGTGTCTCTGATTGAAGGTCCCCAGTACATTTGCTATTCTTATCTGAAAAGAATGTCTCAGTATGTAAACTAGCAAAACAATGGGTAAAAACTCTCCGTGAAAGTGGCCAGTTTTGAGAAAGGCAGAAAGAACAGAGATGTCCTAAAGTCATAATTATTCTTTTACAATGGAAATCACAAAATTGATTGTCTGGCCTCCCTAAGGCCTTTAAGGGTCTCAGAGGTGATTGATAGTATGTAACTGTTGCAACATAGGGTTGTGATATACAGATTTAATTCAAAACTGCTTGGAGATAAATTTATTGAGATATATTATCATCTGGATTCAGGGTGTGGGTTTCATTCATGATGGAGGGGTAGAGTTGTATGGCAGTGTCTTCAACCACCGGAGACAAAGGTGTACCTGTTCTGAAGGCAGCCCCTTGTGTATATGAGATCCCCAAAGAGTTAGCACTAGCTAGTAGAAATGAGTTTGGAGAAGAATACCAAGTTTACTATGCTAAAGGTAAATATTTAAATAACAGTTCAACATATACTTCTGGGGATCTAACCGAATCGAGGCTGGTACTGATACTATGGTTAGGGAGTCTATTGAGCTCTTTTGGATGTTGTGTGAAGTAACTGTGGCATCTAGTGGTTAGTAATCATAATGGTAACACAGTTTGCCTCAAAGATAAATTATGTCCTGAGTTTTGACACTGAGCCATATTATAGCCATAAACAATGAGATACCTATTTTAGTATACTTTCATTCCTACAGAAATCAGCAC